GAGGTAAGGAAGAGAAGGAATCAAGTTGGAGGAGAAGACAGGGAGGATGAGCAGGGAAAAAGAGGAGAGGGTGAGGAAAATGAGGGGGAAGAGAGGAAGGGAGGAGGGAAGAGGAAGAAGAAGGAGAGTAAGAAGAGAATAAGAGGGAGGGAAGAGAAAAAGACAACCGAGGAGAAGAATTAGTACTGAGGAAGTAAGGGGGGAGGAACAACAGAGAACTCGGTGACCACACATCAGAGGAAGTCTATTCCACAGCTTTAGTCCAATTAAGCTACTAAACAAACAATAAAAACAGCCACATAAATTGCCAACACTAACAACTCCCCAAGGAAAAAATCAGAATCTAGATCGACTTTGGGACAATTGTCCTTTCTCAATACAAAATTATACAGCAGACAGAATCAGAAAGGATGGCTCCTACTGAGAAAAAAAAGAAAGTAGCTCACAGAAACCATCACAGAAGATCCTCAGATGTCTGGTATGGAATAAAAATACTTCAAGGCGGCTAATAGGTAGCTAATAATTAACAAATTGGCTCAAAAAAACCAAAACTGTGTTTAAAGAGTTAAATGAAAGTATAAAAATAATAAGTGAAAGTGTGCAACCTCTGGGCTGTCACACCAGTGTATACCTTTCACTCCAGAACTTGGGAGGCAGAGGTAGGCAGATCTCTATGAGTCCAAGGCCAGCCTGGTCTACATAACAAGCTCTAGGACAAGAAGGGCCACGTTAGAGAGACCCTGTCTCAAGAATAACAAAAACTGTGCAACCCCAACAAAGACAGGAAATTATTTTAAGATTTTACTTTATTTGTGCGCGCGTGTGTGTGTGTGTGTGTGTGTGTGTGTGTGTGTGTGTGTGTGTGTGTGTGTGTGTGTAGGTGTGGATCTGTGGGCATACATGCAAGTGTCCACAGAGGCCAGTAGAGGGTGTTAGACTCCTAGAGCTCTTGTGCTGCTGGAATCATCTCTCTGGCCTCATAGAAATTATGTTAAAAGTGATACATTTGAAGTCAGCCATAGTGGCTCCTTCAATAAACACACCTTTAATCCCAGAATTTGGAAGGCAGAGGCAGATGGATCTCTGTGAGTTTGAGACTTGATGGATCTACTTAAAGAGTTCCAGGACAGCCAGGGCTGCATACAGCAATCCTGTCATAAAATGAGGAGGAAGTGATAACTTTAGAGTTGAAAAGTTTAGTAGCTTAAATGAAAATTCCATTGGCCAAGAACCAATAAAGGTAAAATATTACTTAGAAGCATTTCTGTAACACAAAAGGAGGTAGAGAAGGAAACAAGAAGAGAAAAATATATGAGACATAGAACAACTATGTAAATAGAAACTTCACAAAATAAAAATAACTATAAATGGACTAAACAGTCCAAATAAAAGGCAGAGACCATCAGGGTGGATTTAAAAGAACTACAGCCAAACATAGCATACACTGTATAAAGACATATATTATAGTGGAAATGTGGAAATGTGAAAATTAAAGTGATAGAAAGATAATTACACACAGATAACCAGGGCAGAGTTATAGTTCAGGGGATGAGCATGTACCTATGTTCCAATCTACTATATCACAAAACAACCAAGCTAATTGCTGGGGTGGAAAAGAATATAGATTGGACAGCATCATCCCTAACCTGGCTGGCTAGTGTTCCCAGAGCACTGTACCCAGGGGGGCAGTGCACTCTTTTCAAATGCATAGGGATGTGAAGAGACTTTACAAACAGCCTTATGATGACAGCATCAGCAATTTCAATGAAGTGGACAGATGCCTAGACAGGCACAAGTCACAACAACAGATTTGACAAGCAACAGAAAATCTGAACAGACTCAGATCAGGACCCAAAGAGACAACTAATGTGAAGGTTTCCCGTGGAGAGAAGCCCCAGCCCAGGTGGCTTTAGTAGTAAATTCTGGCTAACAACTGGAGACAAAATCAGATCTTAAGGAACTTTCCAGAAAAGAAGATGAACTGGATGTGGCTGAGTACTCCAGCAATCTCAACACTCAAAAGGCTGAAGTGAGAAGTTTATGGGTTCAAGGCTAGCTTGGGCTGCACGTCAAGACCCTATTCAAACTAAACAAAAGCTAAGGCTATAACTCAAGTGATAGAAACCTTGCCCAAGGAACCATAAGGAGAGAGATGGAGAAAGAGAGAGAAGAGAGAGAGAAGTGAGAGAGAGAGAGACATATTCACGAAACTTATATTTTTTTTTACCATCACTGAAAGTAAAACATCCCAGTAGAGCACAGATAAGCCTCTCTGTCTCAAGAACATCAATGCAAAATCCTCAACAAAATATTAGTGAGCCAAGCAAGTAACACAAAATAATAGATAAAAGGGGGAAACTACAGGGTCACCTTGGCAAACATGAAAAAAGCAGTTGACAATACTACTATGGGAAAACCTGCAATCAGGTATCAATGTTAGGAAATTTTTAAACCCTAAAAAAATAAAACCCCACATCTGATTTCATCCTGAACAGTAAAGACAAAGTACTTTTCTCCACAATCATGAAGCATCTGTGCTGTTCAGCTGTTCAACAAATGACTCTAGAGATGCCAGCCAAAGCAACAAGGCAAGAAAAAGAAACACAAGACATGCTGCTCAAAAGGAAAGATGCTAATCCTTCCTTGTTTGCAGATGACATGGTCCTGTATGCATCCACTAACATCTGCTAGAACCCATCAATGGTCACATTTAGCAAGGCTATTGAACAAAGGATCAATATGTAAATGGATGGCTTAGTCAGTAAAGTGCTTGCCATGCAATTCCTAGAGCCCACATTTAAAAAAACCTGGATGTTGGGGTAAAGACTAGGTTCAGTGGTTAAGAGTGGCTGCTCTTGCAGAGGACCCAGGTTCAGTTCCCAGCACCCATATTGTGGCTTACAACTGCCTGTAGCTCTAGGTTCCAGGGGATCTGCTACTCTCTTCTGGACTCTGTGGGAACTGCATGTACATGATGCATGTGTACATGTAGGCATCTATACATATAAAATTTAAAAAATAAGTTTTTATAAATAAATTAATCTGGATACATCAGTGCTTGCTCATAATTCCAGCACCAAAGAGGCAGAAACAGGCAAATTCTAGGGCTCGACGGCTAGTCAGTCTAGTCTACTCAGTGAGTTCCAAGCCAACACAACAGAGACCCTATCTCTAAAAACAAGTTAGACAGATCTCAAGGTAAGACACTCCTGGGTGTCCTCTGGCCTCCACACATATGCACACATGTACACACAAATACACACATACAATATTCCTCTGTACTGACAGTAAACATTGCAAAATTAAGAAATAATTCCATTTGCAGTAGCTTATTCTGGAAAACAAAGTATTTAGAGAGCAAATTTCCCTAAAGACATTCAGTTAGCTGGGGTATGTACACCTGTAATCTCACCACTCGGGAAATGGAAACAGAAGGACCATGGGCTACACCGTGAGACAGTGTCTGAAAAGTGTTCAGTTCACAGTGGGTATATTCAGAAAGTGACAAAGTGCTCGGGAACATTAAAGACCCAAATAAAGAGAAATGACACTGTAAGATGTGGAGTCAAAGGCAGAGATCCTAAATTGATCTATGAATTAAGGACAAGCCCCTTAAACTCCCAGCAGGCACTTCTGTAGACACTGATAGGCAGATTCTAATGTTGGCACGGGCTGGGGAGAAACTAGAAAACAAATTTGAAGAGAGCATCAGTTTGAGAGGCGTGTAAATCTTTGTTTCAAACCCCACTGCAGAGCCTCAGTAGTGCCGAGTGTGTGCGCTGCCGTCAGAACAGACACGAGTTGGACCACATGGCCGGCGAGATCGCTTGGCAGGTGAGAGCACTTGCCATTAAGCCTGAAGACCTGAACCCATTCCTGGAACCAGTGGGGATAAGGGAGAACGAACTCCATGAGCCGTTCTCTGACCTCCATATTCATGCCATGGTACACGCACACACACACGTACACTAATAATACATAAATATTACGTCTTTTTTTTAATGACACTGGTGGAGCAGGAAAAAAAAGAATCCCAAAATAATCTCCAACATTTATGGTCTCAAGAAAATATAAAGCAGAGGAGAGTCTTTTTAAAATATACACACACACACCAAAAAAATGAACTTCAGTCCTTCTACATCATAAGCAGACATTAACTTCAGATGGCCAATAAATCTGAGTAGCAAGCCCAAAGTCTACAACTCCTGGGGAAAAATGAAGGGAAATCTTTGTGACCTTGGACTAGGCAAAGAAAGCAAAACATAAGATTCATGAAAGAAAAGAAAACGAGTAAAAAGGACATTGTGGTAGGAAAAACCTGTGTTCCAGAAAGCTCATATGAAGAAACTGGGGACTGGGACTGGGGCTCCATGGGAAGAGGGCTCACCCAGAACGCAAGGGGCCCCGGCTTCCTACCCCAACCCATGTGCTGGCACAAGCCTGTAATCCCAGCACTCAGGAGTGGAGGCAGGGGGATCAGAAGAGCAAGGTTATCCTCAGCTATGTAGCAAGTTTGAGGCCAACCTGAGCTACAGGAGACCCTTCAGACAGACAGACAGACAGACAGACAGACAGACAGACAGACAGAATATCAAGATATGGCATTTACAAATCTGTCTCTTACAAAAGACTCATGATGGAATACATACAGAACTCTCTCACAGTAAATTTGAATAATTTTGAAAGCTAATAATGAGACAAACCCATTAAAATGGGAAAGATTTGAATAGACATTTTATCAAAGAAGAAATGTGGGTGCCTAGAGCATACAGAAAGATATTCAACGTCACTGGTCAACCTGGAAACTGCAAATTGGACCCAACACCAGATAGCACCGCATTCCGGCTCAGATCTCTATTATAAAAAGACTGGCCGTACCGGGTACCAGAACACACAGGAGCACAGACCCTCAAGGATTGATGATGGGGACGTAAACTGGTCCAGCCAATTTGGAAGCCTGGCGACTTGGCAGCTTGTTAAGAATTTAAATATAAACTTACCAAATGACTCAGCAATCCATTCCGAGGGATCTACCCGAGAGAAATGAAGGCTGGCGTCCACATAAAGGCCGGTACACAAATGTCACAGTGTGATTCATTACGACCCCAAACTGGAAATGATTCAAATGTCTGTCCCTCGAGATGCAGAGGAAGGAGAAGCATTCTATCAAGACAGGGGAATACTACTTAGCAATTAAAAATAAATGTGGGATGACTCATGCTGCAACATGAGCGAACTTCAAAAACATTACACTAGGGCAGGGGAGGTGGCTCTAAGGGTACGGTGCTTGCCCCAGAAGCATGGGGGCCAGAGTTGGATTCCTAGAAGCCATGCTTTTTCAAAACTGGTGTGGTGGTACCTCCTTGTTTCAGGGGCAGTGACGGTGTTGGGGAATGCCTCCTTCACTTCTGTTTCAACTCCAAGTTGTGTGAATTAAGTGGGTATATAACCTAGAATTCTTTTCTGGTTTTATTTGTGGGGGTGCAGGTGCTCCCCCAAGCAGGGCACATTTGGTGCCTCAGACAGGCAGGCAGGCAGACAGACAGGCAGACAGACAGACTGACTGACAATATCATGGGGCTGAGGAGGTGGAGACAGGAAGGTTTCTGGGATTCATTGGCTTCTGCATACTTGCACGCAAACACCCTTGTACATGTACATACACACATGTGGTCACTAAGAAAGAAGATGAGTGTGGCAACACGTGTCTGTCATCCCAGCACTAGGAAAGGTGAGGCAGGAGGATAGTTGGGAGTTTGAAGACAACCTGGGCAACTCTATGAATGATACAATAAAATAAAGCTGATTTTTTGAGGTCTAGTTGTGTGAATCTAAGTCTGCAGAACTGTACACTCACAGTAGGACTGGTAATGCACAGTGGGTTTGCACAGGCAGTACTTAATGGTATCTGTAGTCTGTTTTAAAAAAATCACAGCTCAAGCCAAACAGCGGTGGTGCACACCTTTAATCCCAGCACTGGGGAAGCGAGGCAAGAGGGTCTCTATGAGTTCGAAGCCAGCCTGGTCTACAAATCTCGAACCAGGACAGGCTGCACAGATAAATCCTGTCTCAAAAAAGAAAAAAACAAAAAAAATCACTGCTCAGGAGAAAAGGAAGGGTGCACCCTTATGACTGTAGCAGGCACCACACTAGCCAGCCCTGCCTCTTGAATGCCCAGGGCTGGGGTTTGCCCTCCCTGGCGCCAGGACTTCCTGCCTGGCCATCAGCTCAGCAGGTCTCACTCGGCAAAAGGTTGTCTTTGACCTTGGGGACCTTGCCCCAAATCCAACTCACACTCCCATCCCTTTTATGACCTGCCTTGGACACACCTCCAACTCAAGGGTGTCCTGATGCAATAACAGACCCAGGGGGGGCCGGGGCTTAAGGCCAGGCACCTTGAAGGCTCTTTATTCCATGCGGCATGTAGAGCACGGGGCACAGATCAGAGAGAGGCATCCTGGCAGGAGGAGGGAGAAGTAGCTTTGTCTTTGACATTTGTCCTGGCAGTCATGCGCCATGTACGATGTATGCGAGTTACTACAAGCTCACCGCTGCTCCTCAGCCACTGCCCTGTGTCTACCTGTACCTCTCCCTCCCAGGGAGAGCATGGGGGGGGATGACCCCAACCCAAGAAGCACACCATCAGGTACCTAGGGACCCATCTAGAGTGGACGCAGCTGAGAACAGAATTGGGAAATCGATGGCTTACCCATGCACAATTTCCAAATATACTGTCACCATCACCTGCTTAGCATGACACTGGCCAACCTCTCTGAGCCATTCAGCTGGGGAGGCATGATGGAGCATGGGGGGTGCCTCAGAGACAACAAGGGGTGCATGGGGAAGGGCATGGGAAGAAAGCAGGGTGACTAAGACCACACACACACACACACACACACACACACACACACACACACACACACACAAGGGTGAGGACAAAGCCTTGACTGAGCGGCTGCATTGTGCTTTCAGGATCTCCTGAATCTGTCATGAGAGGGTAGGGACAGCCTGTGAGTGAGGATATAGATCTGGGGCCTGTACGGCAGGCAGTTGGATGCTACTAGGGTAACTCCATTCTCTGTGACTCAGAATGAGCTGGCTGTGGCAGGATTGGAACCTCCAGAGGGTCCCATCTGGGCACAGGGCTGTACTCTGGCCTTCTGGGGGGTCAGGGACAGTGAGCCTTGTGTGCACCTGGACAGTCTTGCCTGAACATTCTGTATTCTGTGTGTGTGAGAGAGAGAGAGAGAGAGAGAGAGAGAGAGAGAGAGAGAGAGAGAGAGAGAGAGAGGAGAATGTGTTTAGAGGTCGGGAGCCCACCACATAGGTGAGGCCCCAAGGATCCTCGTCTCTGTCTCCCCAGTTCTGAATTACAAGGCAGGACCAACCACACCCAGTGTCTCCCAAGGGTTCTGGGCGTGGAGCTCAGGTCCTCATACAGTCTCTTTATAGTTCAGTGGTTCTTAATCTGTGGGTTGAGACCCCTTTGGGGTTGAAAAACCCTTTCACTGGGGTCACACATAAGACCATCAGAAGACACATATTTGTACATTACAATTAATAACCATAGCAAAATTCGTAGCTATGAAGTAACAACAAAAATAATTTTATGGTTGGGGGTCAGCACAACATAAGGACTGTATTAAAGGGTCACAGCAGCTGGAAGGCTGAGAACCCGTGATCTAGACCAAGCCATCTTTCCAGTCCCGACACTCTGGATTTCTGACAAGCTGTTTTTCTAAAAAACGCCGTCCCTGGTGAAGCGCGTCCCTCAGATCTAACGTGTCCTTGCTCTGTGGGGACACCAGACGGAGGAAACCAAAACAAGTCCAGATGTCTGTCAGGCGGCGAACACCTCAGAGGCTTGAGTCTCTTCCCCGAGCTCCCAGGACAGAGGAGCCAGGCAGCACTCAGACCCAACAGGTGAGTGGCTGCAGGAGCACCACAGGTGCACACGGGCTCATCCTCCAGCTCCCACCTGTTCTTCTGGGTTCGAGAAAAGGAAACGACCCAGAGCGGAGCATGTTCACCTTATAACGCCTGAGCTCCTTCCCGCACACATGTCTGCATGTCCTATGACCCTATCTGCAAGACAGGAACCGGTTCCCAAGAATGCCCACCCCATGCACCGGCACCCACAGGAACCCCGGGAGCACATGTACCCTGTTTCCACCTCTGAGGCAACAAAAGGAAGCAAGACTCACTTCCCAAAGCCTCGTTCTCCACGGGGTGTGTCCCTCATTTCCTAACACACACACACACACACACACACACACACACACACACACACACACAGAGAGAGAGAGAGAGAGAGAGAGAGAGAGAGAGAGAGAGAGAGAGAGAGAGAAGAAAGGTTTCACTTTTAGAACATTTTTTTTTCTGTTGGAACACGCTCCAATTTAAGAAAATTACATTTTAGTTTTTGGAGGGGATGGGGTATGTGTGTGGCACAGCACACCTGGAGCTCAGAGGACAACGTGCAGGAGTCGGTTTTCTCCTCCCACCATGGGGTCCTGGAGGCTGACCTCGGGCTGTCAGGCTTGGCAGTAAGTGCCTTTACCCACTGACCCTTCTCGCTGACCAGCTCCAGCTCCTCAAGCAATCAATGTCAAAGGGGAAGTCACCGTGTCTCTGTCACTTCTGTTGTCAGATCCTGAGACCCTCAACAGTCTCCTTCCTGCCTGTGCCTCGAACACACTTCTTCATGCAGAGCACGGGGAGGGGCTCTTTCTTTACCCAGATGCTCTGTTTGAAACAAGGTTCCTCTTTGCATCCCAGGTTACCCTTCGGTTTACAAGCCTCCAGAGAGGTCTACCTGGTCTCTGGGATGCTACAAATTTCCAGAAGTTTCCCTGAGCTCTGAGAACAACAATGACTTCTTCCCATGAACTCCAGCCTGGGGCCAGCAAGAACCCTGTGGCCTTCTCTTTTGACTTCTTTACCTGCTGGCCTTGCCGGTCCTCTGACATTCCGGCTTGTGGCCACAGCAGGTCCTCCGTTCTTGTTTCTCCTCCCCAGCACCATTTACATCCTTACCCTCACAGAGCGCGGAAGCGCCCCCCACCCAGGATGCCAGGGTCCCACGGAACAGAGCACCAAATGCAGGGAACTATTCGAGAGGTGTGGCAGCCTCGACGCTTCTTCGACGCTTCTATATAGATACCCTGTGGTGAGCACCCAAACCAACCCTCATCTTACATGGAGAAGGTCATAGCTCAAAGGAGGGGAAGGGACCCAAACAGGCCACACACCATATCCAAGGTTAACAATCTCAGCCCCCTGCCCAGGGAAGCCTCATCCTGGAGCAGAGTCCTCCACACATACACCCCAGGCTCTGCTTCCAGCCCCCATGTCACGGATGCCTCCACCCCATTTGACAAGTTAAAACCTGGAGGCCCAAGGAGGAGGTCACACGGCTGGGCAGGGGTCATTCTTGAGCTGCAGCCTCCCCCAGGTCCCTATTGTGGCTCTGATGTAAATGTCCCATGAGAGAAGGCTCTCTCTCCTGGGGTCCCAATAAATCATGGGCTAAGGAATTTGGGGGGTTATTGCTTTTTCAAGGATGGCAACCAGGGTACCCTGATGCTGCTAGGCACTAGAAAGGCCCCTGGAATTCTCACCTCAAATGAGACAGTCAGGAACCAGGATCCAGGACTTTACCAGACGGGTCAGGAGCTTCTAGCCCATCAGCTGGTGCCCTTCCTAGTTCAAGGTTACCCCCCAAGGGCCGTACCTGAGAAGCTGTGGGCACGGTGAGGACTCTGCCCCAGGTCCTTCGCCAGAAGAAAACAATACAAAAGCGCGTGGCCATCGCTGACTACGCCTAGAAGGGCATGACTGACACAAAGCCCACTCTTTAGGATTCACTGTGTGCTCTGGAAGGGTCTACAACCCCTTTCTAGACGCATTCCTCACCCCCTACCCCCACATGGCCAGCCAGGGCTGCCTTCATCCCTGAGTGTGAGCATGTGTGTTGGGGCTATGTGACAGCCCATACGAGCTTCCGTGTTTACTAAACCAAAGGAAGTTAATGACTAAGAGATGCCGGGTTTTGATCCTACTGAAAATAAAACTGGGATCTGTCGGTAAACATGAACGAATCTCGGGCTGTCAATCATCTCTTCGGGGTTCCCACAATAGGCAGGATTCTGTCTGGATCCAACAGCTTCCAAGATAGGGGTGCTGTTGGGGGGTGTTGTATCTTGTGGGGACAGGTTTTCTGAGCCTCCATTGTCCTGTCAGCATCACCTGTATGAGTGAAAAGCTCTCATGGAGCTATCAGCAGGGGCAGAGGGCAGACATGTGCTTCTGAGGCCAGAGGGTCCTGGGGGACACCACAGGCAGGGAGACCTCACCTCTGTGATGGAGGCCTACGGGCAGGAGCAGAGTTCCCATCTGCAAGGCTGGAAATCTGGTTGTGTTCATGTTGAGGGTAGAAATCAGGGGTGAGCGTGGTCTCAGTGCTCTGTCTGCTCTCACCTGGATTGCCATGGCAACAGTCCTGTCTGGGCCTCAATTTCCCCATCTGTCATGTGGAAGGATTGCTTGGAAAGTGGAGCTGAGCCACCAGGCTGGGTTGATGGAAGTTTCCAGGCCAGCTCGTGCCTTCCCACCCTCATTTTTTTCTAAACCTTTGCTTCTTTTGGGGGTGCCAAGGCCTTACAGATGGCCCTGGCCCTGCTTGTGCCCCAGAATCCCTTATAATTATCTCTTCCTGTGCCTGAAGTCCATGCCTGGGGCTGGCGCAGGGAGACTCTTGTGGCAGAAACTGCAGGGGGACAGCAGATATCTGAAGACCACATTGGAGGGTACACTAACACC